TATTAATTGATACGATTCCATTAACACGATCATATATATTTTGACAATGAGTATGGCTTTGGTAGAGACGGTGATATAAAAAAGAACAAAGAAACAACATTACAATCAACTTGTTTAATTTATAAAGAAAAAAAATTATTGTCTGCTCTGTTTCATGGTGATTAAAACAATGGACTTTTCCTGACAACTGATGTATCCGATAAGGTTTAGAAACACGCGACGTCGAAAAAACACTTTACGCTGTTACTTTGAGGGACCATGGCAAAATATCCAAAGGGTCGGCGGGACTTTGCGGAGAGATCTATTTTATTTCTACATATGTTTTTTTGTGTGTTATGATCCAGTAGGCCTATGACATTCATCGTATCCCAGTACAGATTGATTTCTTCTCATTCATGGCTTGTTTTGAGGGTTTGTCCATAACTATATACATATCGTAAATTTATCAAACATATATCGCACAATTTTAGACCTGTAATATTACAATCTATATGAATTTGATGTAATCCTGCGTAGACATATCCCTCGGCTGATTAATTAATTATTAATTAATTACCTTTGCTCTCTTCTTTCTCACCGCATCATTATCTAAAATGTGTACGTACCAAAGATCTTATAAACACAAGATAGCGTTCTCCTCGATTTACGCGTAACAAATAGAAGCGTCGGTCAAGGTTCAAAAGTTTCCCATTTAGCAAGAGGGCGCCATTCATGCGCTATTACCGAAGAGAAAAAGTAATAAGTCTGTCTCTTATACACATCTAGATGTGTATAAGAGACAGGGCCTACATGCCAGTGGATTAGTAGCACTAGCTCNTGGTCAGATCAGAGCGGTCAAGGGTCAAAAGTTTCCAATTTAGCAAGAGGGCGCCATTCATGCCTTATTACAGAATTTGCACGCGTAAATCGCGGAGAACGCTATCTTGTGTTTATAAGATCTTTGGTACGTACCTAATTATAGTTTCTTTTATATATAGTAAAGCACTTATATATCTGTCAAATCTATATATATATAACACTATTATATATATATATATATATATATAATGTTCGAGTGTGGAATTAATGTTTTAGTTCGCAGTAGAAGCACACGACGTCCTTAATTTCCTATTTTAGTAAATAATTATAGTAATAATAATATACAATAATGATGACGATGATAATCACCATAATAAACTTAGTAATGAATACAACAATGCAATTAATTTTGTATGAAATGTCCATTGTGATAACACAGTTGTGAATTTAGGAATACGCCTATGTGCATTTACTGAACCATTTGTATGGAACACCAGCCGTGCAAAAACCGATTGTTGGGCTCATTAGTCGTTGGACATTTGAACCATATTTAATGTGGGCGACTCTTGCAGCAATGCTGATATACAGAGGCCCACTTATTGAACTCAGGATACAAACATTGATAATATATAATATCAAAAAGTACTTTGGTTTTCTATTTTCTGTTCTTCATTAGTAGTTTCCAAAGATTGAGACGATTGTCCTGAATCTTATTTGTCTCAATATCTTGTTTGTTATCTAAATAATATTCGGTGTTTGTCTGCTGAACGTCATTCCAATTCGAGGACGACTTTAACGCGTCTAAGTTAGTCGCAGATGTGAACACTTGTTGACGCGAATCACTCATAGCTAAGGCAACAACCTGTAGATAAAATATGAAAAGGAGAATGTTTTAGCTTATTAAATATATATCAGCTTATTTGTAATTTTGTTTTAGCTCCTTTATAACTTGTAAAATCAAATGGTACCACAAGACCAGCTATATGAAATAGCAAATCAAGAAATGTTGAGCACTAACATTTAGAAGAAGACATAAATAGTTTTGACGCCATAAAAGATTGCCACGTAAGAGCTCAGCAAAAACCACTATAAAAGAGATTCAAGGAAAAGTAAAAAAAAAAAGAAGCTATATTGAGTTTTTACAATTTTGTATCATATTTGTTGAAAAAAAGTTTCACTTTTTGACTTTCATAGAAATACTTGATGTCTATTCTGTGCATCATGCAGCCTAAACTTTTGTACAGAGTTAACTAAACCACTTTCTGAAAGTGTTATAATAATTCCGTATGTTTTTAGCGTGCCCGAAAGAAAACAAACTATACTTCATTTGTTTTTCTTGCTAAAATTCCTAAGGAATGTCTAAATATTCCAAGTAAACTTTATTTCTATTGTTGAAAAGTTCTAAACACTTTCATTTTATTTCATTTCAGTAATAGGCCTACATTTTAAGTGATATTGAAAGACCATAATGAGTTGCAGATACTACGCTACACTGCACTCAAGCAACACTTAAAGGCAACACTTAAAGCAACCATTAAAGGCCACAGTCGCAAAATCATAGTATACAGAAAAGGCAAATCTCTGAAGCGCAGACAAATTAAATCCTTTTAGTTTACCGCCATTATTTTGTTTACAAACGAATACCTATTCTGAGACCCACAACAGAGACTAAACTGCAACAAGAGAGAAATCGTATACGAGATAAGATGCAAGCCATTATAGGGAACAACACAATATATTCCTTTATACATAGAGTGAGCTAGAAGCATCAAAAACAAAATTGAAAAATATCAGAAGAAAATACAAATCCGTCGTCCATATTTTATCGACATAATATAGATTCCTATAGGGAAAACAACAACCAAAAGAAGGAGTCACCTTTAAATAAACTGACCTATACCAATTAAGCCGGTTTTCCACAATTCGAATTTATTCGCGCGAATCGAAAGCGTCGGTTCATACGCATGCGCATTCACATTCCTATCGGATTTTTGTGAAGCGAAAAAATGCGCAACCAATCAGAGCTCAGAAAGCGTACCGAAGATTTGATTCGCGCGAATAAATTCGCCTAGTGGAAAACCAGGTTAAAAGATCAATTTGGAAACAGAATCCATCAAAGAAGAAGTCAACCAAACTAATATTTTAAACATGGCTTGCTTCCATATCCCAGGACGATACAAAAATACTGAAAAAAAAAATGTGAATGAAGACGATTTCCACAAGTTCCTTGATGGATCTCATCGCCCCTAAAAGGAGCAAAGCGAGGTGGACATTGGACACTGGACATGGTGGACGTATAATAATTATAGTTATGTTTTATTTATTTTAACTCTACTCTACTTCCATAAACTTCATTATTGGTATTATTATTTACTATTGCAGGAGGTGCCATCCTATCTGTGGAATGGTTTCAACACGGTTACGTCACTAATATTCACTACATGAACTGGGAATTCCTAGTATGTAAAAAACGGGTTTCAATGGGTTATCTACTATATATTTTATTAAATTGCAACGCATTGTCTCTACGTTGTAGCGTCAGAGCCTTAGAGTAGAAGCTTTAATTTACGAAAATTTTATTATAATTATTCATTGCATTGCTTGCTGTGTCCGAGTATTTTTAATGCCTTTGATCACATTACACATACAATTGTCTTATTCGAGATTTTGCTTTCTGAAAATAATGCACAAAACAGGCTGTATCTTATAGATCTCTGACCGTCTAATTACATGCGGTATTAGTGTTATGCCAAACTGTTACGTCAGACGCGTTAAAAAGAATGGAAGAGATCAAACCTACTGGCGTATATTCACCAATGGTCAATGGTTGTGCACTTGCATAGCGCGTATAACATTCTTTTCTATGCCCAGAAAAGGAAAAATGAATATTGGTTGAAACAGAATGGTGGTGAAAAGAAAAGCAAACAAAAAGTGATAGAATAGAAAAGCAACACAACATTAAAAGGAAAACAAAACATGAGAGTGGAGGAAATTAGAGATTGTTAAATAAGAATTATTTAAGGCGGCGCTTAAAGATAATTAAATTAGAAACTCTTGATTTGATTATGGAACACAACGCCGTCCTGGACAGGTGTTTGTGACGTCCACCATGTACAATATGCGAAAGGTCCAAGGTTCGAGTCCTTGTGGAGTTTTTCTTCCATTCTGTCAAATTACCCCCTGTTACGTTTCAATAAATATATAATTTAAATATCATTATTTTAAAGCCTAGCTCCAGGGGGAAAATGTGTTTCCTCCGGAGCCTTGCTTTAACAAAATATATTATACTACACAGGAAGAACATTCAAAACAACATTGGAAGAATGTTTTATAATGAAAACTAACATCACGAATAGCCTGCTTCCATCGCTTTGGCAGGTTGGCTAATGGTTTATCATCGCCTTTCATTCTGAATAATGTTTTGGTTTCTTGTGGCTCATTCTATAAACAAAAAAAATAAGAAAATTCATGTCATTCAAAAGCTTACTTGTAAATTCTTAGCAGTAGACGTAGCATTAGCAATACACTTAATCAAAGCATTAACCGGTCGTATAAAAAATCCAGGCGAATGCCGAGTCAGTTGGCTTATTCGGCAGGTTCATTTCGTAGAGTACGAGTTGAGTATTATTTTCATGCGACTGATTCGTAAAATAGACTTCGTTGACAACGAAAATTAACGTAACCAGAGTGCGTTAATCAGCGTTAAGTTATGCACACGAGCAAAAAAAAAAAAAATATGGCCGATTGGTCAGTTTAGCAACAACATTTGCGTTTATATAATTTAGATTAAATTTCAGAAAATAAACATTATAATATTTACCAATAATGAAGTCAAAAAATAATTGTAGGCTAACAGAATTCAAAAACTGGATGAAAACATTTATTTTACGAAAAACCAATACTGCCACAATCCGAAGCAGCCTTGATTAAGCAGCGTATATCGCGGTAACTATGCAGCCATTTTGTTTTGTCCAGTATTTACATTTTCGTTAAGTAAGATTTTACAACTGCGCAGGTGGATGTGGTTTAACGAAAAACGACCAGTCGAATACGGCCAAAATTTTATTTTTTTTAAAAATATTTTTTTTAGCATGGTAAATTTTAGGTTCGTACGTGCAACCCTGTTGTCGTATTTCATGGTACATTACATACACGTGTAGTTTAGATTATTGGTAAGTGTTTAACATTTGTATTTGCTTATGTGTTTTGGAATTTCATTGATATACGTTGTAGTAAAACAAATTACTTACACTTTGGACGTTGTCCGAGATCTCTTTGAAGTCATCGAACGTGTCTTTGCGAGTAGGTCGTGAATAACATGAACGGCTTGCGAAACATGGCAAGTTTTTTATATCTGAATAAAACAAACACATATATTTTTTAATGGTTGACGAAAAACAAACAGTTAGTCCTAATAGTATACTGTTTACAGAATATATGTGGCAATACCTATATTTTCTATGTTAACATCCACGATATACAATCAAACGTGTCTGACCTCTCCCGACAAGTGGTCCACACCAAAATGTATATCTACCACATAGGTGGGTTGTGTTGGATTAAGAGTCTATTTTATTTATTTTATCCATATGTTACAAAACATGATATGTCAAAAATATCAGATAAATACAATTTATGTCAAGATATTGTATACAATTATATATAGTACAATTTATCCAATCATTTGTAGATTGAGTAAAATTACAAAGAAAAAGATTGATTTTGTAAGAAAATTATTAAAGGAAGGTGAGCCAACCTCCACATAATATAGTCACAAGTGCTCTCGAATTTATTGTTTTAAATAGTCAAAAAAAAAGTAGTCACCGTCTGAAGAATGTTATTTTTTTTTGTATACTTATTTATATAGAGGCCAATATTGAAAAATAATTTGATAGGATATATTTTGATCATCAGCAGTATGTTTTATATATTTATATATAATATATGCGTGTGTGTGTAGGCCTATGCAGCCCACTGGCCCCGGGCCCTTGCAGATTATTGTACGTAGGTTCCTGGACATACACATGGGATCCTCGACACACACAGAAACATAGCTGAACCACCACAGTTGCTACAGAAACACACACAAAAAAAAACCATTTTCTTGCAATGCCTGTGGTTCAGGTACAACATTGCGTCGACAATTTCAAAATTAATTAAGAATAAGTAATTTTTCATTGCACGATGTACATACATAATTGTTTTGTTTGTAAGAATATAACTTTTACAAAAAACAGAAAACAAAACAGAAAAACCGCTCTTTTCCATTCAATTCAGTCCAATCTTTATTGTCAAACCAAGTCATATATACCGTTTGAAATTGCGATTGTTTGTTCACATATTAAAAATAAAAAATATACTTAATTGATACAATCACCTACTAAAACTCACAACACAAACATCATATCATAAAATGTTAAAATATAAAGTAAAGGTTAAAATTGTAAAAGTTAAAATGGTACAAATTTGGCTTAAAAGGGGTCTCAATTTTTTGCATAGACCTGATTATCTTTTCCAAATTTCATTAAATTGCCTCATAGCACTTGGACGAAATAAATTTCTTATCTTGTTTGTCTTCCACCTAGGAAAAATCAAACGACCAGTTTTGCAAAATGAAAGATACTGATAAAGAGGGTGACTGTTATCTGACATAATTACCGTACTTTGAATTTCTTATTTAATGCAGTGTAAACATGATCATATCTCTTTCAAACAAACAAGCGCATTTCACGTTCGTTAATCCTTCTGGACTGGTTTAGTGTAAGTTAATGCTCACATAAATATTTTACGTCTGTGTCCATACTTTATTTTAACACTAAGAACACCGCCTAATTATAACGTTTACAAATAGATTTGGTAAATATTACTCAGAAATTATTATCAATTTCTTCGCTTGTATTTGTTTATTTAATAATCAAGTTCATTGAAATTTGAACAGTATGCCCTGTCTACCTTTTGATCGAATTGAATTGAATTTGAAACACTGTTTCAATTATAACGTTAAAATTTCAAAAACAGTAAGACAACCATGCGCTTATTATGTTTGTATCAATAGTCTGCAATTTAATAGGCCTAATTGCTGGCAAAATAAACATTTTGTAATTGTCGGCCTGCTGGCGCACTTCAACGCTTGACCATACAGATGGGAAAATTCGACCAGAGATAGGTCCTCAAATGGGATCGTAATCAATTTAAAGGTAAGGAAGGAAAGGTAAGGGAATATAAGAAATACAAAGGAAAGAAATGATTAGGAACCAAGGATGGAAAAGTGAAAGAATTATAAGGAAACATAAAAATGGAAAAGAAAGGAAAGATAGACACGGTAACATAAACAAGGAAAAGGAAAAGGAAATAAATGACAAGTAAATATAAGGATGGAAAAAATGAAAGACAGATAAGAAATTATAACAAAGGAAATGAAAGGAAAGATAAGGAAACTGAAAAGGGAACAGGAAAGAAATGGTAAGGAAACATAACTATTTGAAGGGAAAAGGAAAGAGGGACACGATTTTTGTTATATTTCACCTCAAACTGTTTTATTTGATAATTCGGGGAAAAAAATGTGGTCGAGTGTGATTTATATCATTTAAGTCTATACATACACACATACATACATGCATGCATAGTATATAAAGAGTATATAATACTGTATGCCCTTTTCGCTATGAACTTTTCTGCTTTGTCACCTTTCTGATTACAACTTTAATCCTACAGCCTCCAAATGTACGTCTTTTAAATGAGCTGGTGATTATCGCTACTGCCGCTCAGATATAGGCCTACTCATTAAGTAACTTATTCGACAGCATAATAGAATTCGTTACGAATGAGAATCGGTCAATTGTGAGTCAGTTAACGGATAATAGTCGGTATAAAAATGATCAACGTGTTTATACAATCCATAATAAATCATAATGAAACCATGTGCTACATATCCACAAGAAAAAACCCCCCAAAAAACACATTATGTAAATACCTTATAAAAAAATTACAGTTTAATGGACTTTTGCTCTGAAATTAATGCTAAAACTAACTGCACTTTATTTTAGAAGCCAAGAACTATGTCACGCTTTCTCAATCTGTAATTATTAATACAAGAACTGCATGAAAATGCTTAAGCAATTAACCCGAAATCGACACAAATTCCAATTACTGAAACATGCGTTTAAAGTTTATCCCTTCGCCTTCTGTATATAGGATTATGACCTTAAAAATCAAACGATTGCCGCTAAAACCTAATATCCGCACTTGTTTTGAACTAAATGATACCCATAATCCTATCTTGGAAAGCGTCTTCTCTTATTTTGAATCTACATAGGAAGTGGCTATATAATACATTGATGGTTGAGAAGGTCAGAGGGTAAATAAACGTAACACATAATGTATATATTGAAGTACGCGCATTATTAAGGCCGTCACTTGTATTGATATTCATGCACAGTTATCGCTAAGCTTTTTCCCCGCTATAAAATTTTATGTGACAAAAAACTGATTAAGATTCGGATATTTACAACTTCAATAGAATACGACTCTAAAACAAATTTAGGATTAAACATTTGCGAATTTCAAGAAAAAGTATATAAAATATATGTACATATAGGCCTATATATGTAATATATAATTAAAAAAAAAATATATATATATATAATATAGAAAGAAAACAGGAAACGGAATAGACTTTAAGACTCCTCTTCATGTT